TGTACTTATCTCGCTACTGTTTCACTCATGGAAAGCCCATCAATGCATTACATGTTGAAAATTTTAACCAAAATATTAATTACTCCACATAAACTGGTTAAATGTCTTGAAAATAAGGAGAGTCCTGCTGTATCCAGAGTTAAGGCTGTGGAAGAAGTGACGTACCCCATACATGTCCTGCCTCGTGTTGTTTTTAACAGGCTGTACAAGAGCTGCATGTGTGGTAGGATGGCATGTATCGATGGTTACCGAAAGGACTACAACATCTGCAGCTACTGTTCGTCACATAATCTTTCCATGGCCATATTTTGCTTCATGAGCAACATGTCAATATCGGTTTCTTCAAAAGTTGGGTGCGCACCCCTGACACCATACCCCCCCACCCCACCCCCACCTCTGAGCCGCCTATGAGGTTTCAACTTTGTACAGTTACAGCTCCTGTCAATAAATGGAGTGGTAACAGTTGCCTCTTCTGATATTGCTGTAACACATGGATTCATATGTGTGAGATGATCTATGCAGTTGAACCCATCAGTGATGGTGTGGGGTTACGTTTCGTGTGACTACCAGTTGATCTCATTACAGTACTTTGAAACACAACGGTAGACGTTTTCGACAGGAAGTACTGGATACGGCCTTGGTGCCACATTTTGTTAACTTTCTATCATCAGACATTCATAGAGGATAACGCTAGGTCGTCTCGTGCCGTTATGACCCTTTTAGAGAACAATTCGATCGAAAACATTACCATGGCCTGAAGGGAGCCTCCCATATAAACCCCTTGAGCATCTTTTCGACTATGTTAGACGCCAAGTTCGAGCTGGACCTTATCCTGTTCAAAGTGAAGAATTGAGCCATTCACTGTATCGGGTATGACAGAGGAATAGGATGCTAATAATAGTGAGTGACTTTAGTTTTACGCCGTTTTGAAGTAATATTCTAGCAATATCAGGGTAGAGGAATTAGAAATGGGGAATCGAACCAGGGTATTCGGCGTGAAGAGCTAACCATCTCCATCACGCCACCTACACCCCCACACTCCACTCCATCTCCATCACTTCCACTCACTCCCTCTACACTCCACTCCATCTCCATCACGCTGCTCACCTCTACTCTCCACTACATCCCATCACGCCACTCAATTCCCCTACACTCCACTCCATCTCCATCACCCCACTCAACCCCTACACCCACTAAGCATCTCCATCACCCCACTCAATCTCCCTACACTCCGCTCCATCTCCATCACGCCACTCAATCCTCTACTTCCACTACATCTCCATCACGCCACTCAATTCCCCCTACACTCCGCCCATCTCCATCACGCCGCCTCACCCCCCTACACTCCACTACATCTCCATCACGCCACTCACTCCCTACGCCCCACTACATCTCCCCATTACCACACTCCACCCCCTACACTCCACTACATCCCCATCACGCCACTCAATTCCCCTACACTCCACTACATCTCCATCACACCACTCAAATCCCCTACACTCCACTACATATATACCACTCAATTTCCCACCTCACAACTATATGACAGAACACACACCACCTCATTACTACATCAACCACCTCACCACTACATCCCACACGTCACAACTACATCCACCACCTCACCACTACATCCACCACCTCACAACTACATCCCACACGTCACCACTACATCCACCACCTTACCACAAGATCCACCACCTCATCAATACATCCACCACCTCACCACAACATCCACCACTACATCCGCCACCTCACCTCTACATCCACCACCTCATCACTTCATCCACCACTTCATCATTACATCCACCCCACCACCACTACATCCACCACCTCACCACTACACCCACCACATCATCGCTTCATCCACCACTTCATCACTATATCCACCCCACCACCACTACATCCACCACCTCACCATTACATCCACCACGTCATCACTACATCCACCACCTCATCACTACATCCACCACTTCATCACTACATCCACCCCACCACCACTACATCCACCACCTCAACACTACATCCACTACTCTCATCACTACATCCACTACTTTTTAGTACTACATCCACTACTCATCTCACCACTACATCCACTACCTCACTACTACATCCACCACCTCTACCACTACATCCAGCACTTCTATCACTACATCCATCACTTCATCACTAAGCATCCATCACTTCATCACTACATCCACTATCTCACACCACTACATCCACCACTCTATCACTACATCCACTCACTTCATCACTACATCCACAACTCTCACCACTACATCCACCACTCTCATCACTACATCCACTACTTCATCACTACATTCACCACCTCATCACTTACATCCACCACTCACCACTAATACATCTACACCTACACTTCATAACTACATCCACTGCTTTTATCACTACATCCACTGCTTTATCACTACATCCACCACTTCATAACTACATCCACTGCTTTTATCACTACATCCACCACCTCATCACTACATCCACCACCTCACCACTACATCCACTACTTCTATAACTACATCCACTGCTTTTATCACTACATCCACTGCTTTTATCACACACATCCACCACTTCATAACTACATCCACTGCTTTATCACTACATCCACCACCTCCTATCACTACATCCACTACCTTACCACTAGATCCACCACTTCATAACTACATCCACTACTTTTATCATTAAATCAACTACTTCACTACTACATCCACCTCTTACCACTATACTACATCCACTACCTCGCAACTATATCCACTAATTTCACCACTACATCGACTACCTGCAACTATATCCACTATCTCACCACTAAGCATCTTACACCACTCTCACCACATACATCCAGCACTTCCTCATCACTACATCCACTACCTCATCACTACATCCACTACTTCTATCACTTACATCCACAACCTCACCACTACATCCACCACCTCAGCAACTTATATCCACCACCTTCACTACTACATCTGCCACCTGCAACTATATCCACCACTTCTCCACTGCATCCACCACCTCGCAACTATATCCACCACCTCCAACTACATCCACCACCACTTCATCACTACATTCACCACCTATCACTACATCCACCACCTCACTACTCATATCCACCACTCCTCATCACTACATCCACCACTTCATCACTACATCCACAACCTCTTACCACTACATCCACCACTCTCGCAACTATATCCACTACCTCACCACTACATCTGCCACCTGCAACTATATCCACCAGTACCTACTCACCACTACATCCACCAATCTCGCAACTATATCCACCACCTGCAACTACATCCACCACTTCATCACTACATTCACCACCTCATCACTACATCCACCACCTCACCACTACATCCACCATCTCACCACTACATCCACCGCTTTATCACTACATCCACCACTTCACCACTACATCCACCGCTTTATCACTACATCCACCACTTCACCACTACATCCACCACCTCACCACTACATCCACCACTTCATAACTACATCCACCGCTTTATCACTACATCCACCACCTCATCACTACATCCACCACCTCACCACTACATCCACCACTTCATAACTACATCCACCGCTTTATCACTACATCCACCACCTATCATCACTACATCCACCACCTTCACCACTACATCCACCACTTCATAACTACATCCACCACTTTATCACTACATCCACCACTTCATCACTACATCCACCACCTCATCACTACATCCACCACCTCACCACTAGATCCACCACTTCATAACTACATCCACCGCTTTATCACTACATCCACCACTTCATCACTACATCCACCACCTCATCACTACATCCACCACCTCACCACTAGATCCACCACTTCACCACTACATCCACCACCGCACCACTACATCCACCACTTCATCACTACATCCACCACCTCATCACTACATCCACCACCTCACCACTAGATCCACCACTTCACCACTACATCCACCCCACCACCACTACATCCACCACCTCGCAACTATATCCACCACCTCACCACTACATCGACCACCTCGCAACTATATCCACCATCTCACCACTACATCCACCACCTCACCACTACATCCAGCACTTCATCACTACATCCACCACCTCATCACTACATCCACCACCTCACCACTAGATCCACCACCTCACCACTACATCCACCACCGCACCACTACATCCACCACTTCATCACTACATCCACCACCCTCATCACTACATCCACCACCTCACCACTAGATCCACCACTTCACCACTACATCCACCCCACCACCACTACATCCACCACCTCGCAACTATATCCACCACCTCACCACTACATCGACCACCTCGCAACTATATCCACCATCTCACCACTACATCCACCACCTCACCACTACATCCAGCACTTCATCACTACATCCACCACCTCATCACTACATCCACCACTTCATCACTACATCCACAACCTCACCACTACATCCACCACCATACCACTACATCCACCACCTCATCACTACATCCACCACCTCGCAACTATATCCACCACCTCGCAACTATATCCACCACCTCACCACTACATTCACCACCTCGGAACTACATCCACCACCTCGCAACTATATCCACCATCTCACCACTACATCCACCACCTCGCAACTACATCCAGCACTTCATCACTACATCCACCCCACCACCACTACATCCACCACCTCGGAACTACATCCACCACTTCGCAACTATATCCATCATCTCACCAATACATCCACCACCTCACCAATACATCCACCACCTCACCACTACATCCACCACCTCATCAATACATCCACACCTCATTACTTTATCCCACACCTCAATACATTCACAACCTCACCACTAAATCCACCACCTCACCATCACATCCACCACCTCACCATCACATCCATCACCTCATCACCACATCCGACTGCTCAACACCCAACAACATCCCCAACACCAACACCTCTCCACTACAGCAACCACTATATTTCCCATCACACTACTACATGCACAACCACTACATCCTCTTTACACATGAGGTTGTGGATGTAGTGTTCATGTAGTGGTGAGGTGGGGGATGGATTGGTGACATTTGAATGTAGTGGTGAGATGAGGATGTAGTGGTGTGATGAGGATGTGTTGAGGAGTGGGATGTAGTGATGGGGTGATGGATGTAGTGGTGAGTTTGGGGGATGTAATGGTGAGATGAGGATGTAGTAGTAAAGTGGGGGATGAAGTGGTAAATTGGGGGATGGAGTGGTGACATATGGATGTAGTGGTGAGGAGAGGGATGTAGCGGTAGAATGAGGATGTAGTGGCGCGGGTGTGGATGTTATGGTGAGGTGAGGGATGTAGCTATGGAATGAGGATGTATTGGTGACGTGGAGTACGTAGTGGTTAGGCTGTTGATGTAGTGGTGTCCTGGGGATGTAGTAGCGAGGTGGGGGATGGAGTGGTGAGGTGGGGCACAGAGTGGTGAGGTGGGGCATGGAGGGGTGAGGTGGGGCATGGAGTGGTGAGGTGGGGTATGGAGGGTGAGGTTGGGCATGGAGGGTGAGGTGGGGATGTAATAGCGAGGTGGGGATGCAGTGTTGAGGCACGGAAATGAAGTGGTGAGGGATGGAGCTGTGAGGTGGGGGTGGGAGGGTGAGGTGGGCATGGAGTGTGAGGTTGGGCATGGAGTGGTGAGGTGGGGATGTAATAGCGAGGTGGGGATGCAGTGCTGAGGTGACGGAAATGAAGTGGTGAGGGATGGAGCTGTGAGGTGGGAGTGGTGAGGTGGGGCATGGAGTGGTGAGGTGGGGCATGGAGTTGTGAGGTGGGGTATGGAGTGGTAAGGGGCATGGAGCTGTGAGGTGGGGTGAGGAGTGGTGAGGTGGGGCATGAGTGGTGAGGTGGGGCATGTAGTGGTGAGGTGGGGTATGGAGTTGTGAGGTGGGGTATGGAGTGGTGAGGCGGGCTATGGATGGGTGAGGTGGGGTATGGAGGGGTGTTTTTTGGATATAGCGGTGATCATTATTAAGTCATTATTCAGTCACCCATAAACAACAATAAGCGCTTATTTCACAGATCAGACCACAACTTTATTTCCTTCTGTGGGAAGTGTCCTGTGAAATCAAATGTTTAAATTTGCTTTGTTTCCTTTAGCGCACATGGCTGTCAAGTGACGACCTCCTGGTGTGCTGTTCTCCGTGCTGGCAATGAGTCCCCAACCTTATACACGCATGCTAAGCGGTATTATGGTTCAGTATATTTTGACGTGGGAATTTAAACTGGGGTTATAATTTCGTCTTTTTTTTCTTTTGTTGTTGTTGAAACTGTATCTATCAATGAACGTAACTTCACAAGCACGTTGCAAGCTTGTGCAATTTCGAGGATGGAATTTTCAGGGTCAAGACAGTGTTTTGGTGAGAGTCAGTTGATTTCGAGTTCAAGGTCTTACACTCCCCAATTTCACAAAGTTCAGGTACTCTAAATTTGCACACAAGTTGTCAAAGTCAAAGACGAACAAGGCATCCCCAAGAGAAATTCACTTCTGGAGATCGAGTTTCCCATGTATTTATTCAGCAGTCCCATTCCATCCAGCATGTTGACAAAACAGGCGACATCATCCACTTCGGTGGGTTGAATCGGAATACTAACATTATTAACATAGAGGGTGATCTTTTTAAGCATAGGCGACTTAAAGTCACTTGTGCTTTCCCACTGACCTAGCGAGCGAAATAATGTGTGTATAATATAGTGGGCGATATCCCATGTTTATTGTAAACCAAAAGTCACTGTGTTCTTTAATCTGATTGGTTGAAAAACGCGATCAAATTGTATTTGATTCCCGAAAATTCTCTGCGTATTAATACATACAAACATCGCTCACACCATTGTATTGTTATGTCGTCAGCTGTCGTCATATTGTGACGTAAAGTCCGAATGACGTCACAAATCAGCAGTTCCAGATGCTACCATGGGAGACAGCCGAAGCGGCCGGCTGATGACATTTCAATGTTGTACCCGTACTCGATGTCACGGGAATATTTCATTTGAAACCTCCGGCTGACGCCGTCGGTTCCAAATGAATTCCCGTGCTTCAAATACTCAATAACACCCGGAAATTCGCCAACACATGATGTTTATTTCCTTATTTAACAATCTTCTAAAAGACAATGTCTTAAGGGCAGTGTTGCATGCGCATTTCTGTTAAGAATGAAGTTGTGATAGCGTTACATGACTTTAAATACAGTTCAGTATTACCCGTTTCCTTTACTTTAGGGGCGGTGGGCTAGCCCAGTGGTCAAAGCGTTCCCCACATGGGTACAATGTGTGAAGCCCATATATGGTGCCCCCCGCCGTGATATAGCTGCAACATTGCTAATAGAGGCATAAGACTAAACTCACGCCTTTACTTTGACATGGATATTTAATTCAGTACAAACGGACTGGTGGGTCCCTGTCTCAAATCGACACATCTCAACCAGCCTGAGTTACACCCACCAGTTATGGGTCACGGAGACTGCCCAAGACATCGACGTGGCCTTGTAATGTAGGTCACGTACAGTTTACCAAACTTGAGCTCGACCGAAGACACAACCCAGAATCGCTTTCACGGGTCACGGGTTTCTTCTTTTGATCTCTACCAGTCACCGAATATCTACGTAATTTGTTAACTTTTTCTAGCTCGCTGGTATAGAGCGTGCCTATCACCTGTTCATCGTGAAAATCGTTCAGTTTATAATATGTAAACGTGTTTCTCTTGTAACGTCGAGACACTTAAAACAATTCTCCTGTTCACCTGATATCGAGTTCCTTGCTGAAAGGTTTCCTGAGATACTAAAATGAACTAAATCACCTAAACTAAATAAATATGTCTTGCTTTTGGGTTGATTGTTCTGAAATATTTCACATAGACATGTCCCCCATACCGCTACGTCATTAGTGTTAGTGTCTTGTTGGGGCGGTGGGGTAGCCTAATGGTTAAAGCGTCCGCTCGTCACGCTAAAGACCCGGGCTCGATTCCCTACATAGGTACAATGTGTAAAGCACATTTTTGCTGTCCCCGCTGTGATATTGTTGGAATATTGCTAAAAGCGGCGTAATAACAGATGCCTTTACGGACTTGCGCAGGAGATAGTTGAGGACGAATGCAGTGCATGGTTGTAATTGAATATCAGGTCTGATAAGAACACTTGTTATTGTTACGAGCCATGTAATCAGAGACTTTAAGGTTCTAGTAAAACGTTCCATAAAACTATTTTTGATGTTTTCGTTGCGAGCTAAAGAGAGTGTTATATTTTGTTGTAGAAACGACATGAATACATTTACACCTTTAAATTCACCACTACACCCACCACCTCACCACTACATCCACCACCATACCACTACATGAACCACCACACGACTACATCCACCACCAGGCCACTACATCCACCACCATACCACTACATCCACCACCGCACCACTACATCCACCACCTCACCACTACATCCACCACCTCACCACTACATCCACCACCTCACCACTACATCCACCACCTCATCACTACATCCACCACCTCATCACTACATCCACCACCCACCTCATCACTACATCCACCACCTCATCCCACTACATCACACACCACCACTCACATTACACCACTACATCCACCACCATACCACTACATCCACCACCATACCATCACCTTACTACATGAACCACCACACACTCACTACATCCACCACCTCACCACTACATCCACTCACTACCACCACACCACTACATCCACCACCTCACTCACCACTACATCCACCACCACTCCACTACTTCCACCACTACATCCACCACCTCACACTCACTACATCCACCACCTCACCACTACATCCACCACCACCACACACTACATCCACCACCTCACCACTACATCCACCACCTCACCACTACATCCACCACCACCCACTACATCCACCACTACATCACCACTACATCCACCACCTCACCACTACATATCCACCACCTCACCACTACATCCACCACCTCACCACTACATCCACCACCTCACCACTACATCCACCAACCTCACCACTACATCCACCACCCTCACCACTACATCCACCACTACCCTCACCACTACATCCACCACCATCACCACTACATCCACCACCTCACCACTACATCCACCACTACACACCATACATCCACCACCAGGCCACTACATCCACCACCACACCACTACATCCACACTCACCTCACCACTACATCCACCACTCACACCACTACATCCACCACTGCACCACTACATCCACCACCTCACCACTACATCCACCACTACTCCCACTACCACTACATCCACCACTGCACCACTACATCCACCACCTCACCACTACATCCACCACCTCACCACTACTATCCATCCACAACACACCACTACATCCACCACCTCACACCACTACATCCACCACCTCACCACTACATCCACCACCATCACCACTACATCCACCACCTCACCACTACATCCACCACCACACCACTACATCCACTACATCATCCACTACATCACTTTCACCACTACATCCACCACCTCACCACTACATCCACCACCTCTCACCACTACATCCACCACCTCACACTACATCCACCACCTCACCACTACATCCACCACCTCACCACTACATCCACCACCTCACCACTACATCCACCACCTCACCACTACATCCACCACCTCACCACTACATCCACCCACCACCTCACCACTACATCCACCACCTCACCACTACATCCACCACCATCCACACTCACCACTACATCCACCACCACCACTACATCCACCACCACACCACTACATCCACCACCTCACCACTACACCACTACATCCACCACCACCACTCTCACCACTACTCCACCACCTCACCACTACATCCACATCCACTACATCCACCACCTCACTACATCCACCCACCTCAACTCCCACCACTACATCCACCACCACTACATCCACCACTATCACACTACATCCCACCACCACACCACTACATCCACCACCATCCACCACTTCCACACCACTACTACATCCACCACCACACCACTACATCCACCACTCTCACCACTACATCCACCACCACTCACCACTACATCCACCACTCATCACTACATCCACCACCACACTCACTACATCCACCACCTTACTACACTACACTACATCCACCACTATATCACCACTACATCCACCACCCTCACCACTACATCCACCTACTACTCACCACTACATCCACCACCCTCACCTACATTCTACATCACACCACCACACCACTACATCCACCACCCACCACTACATCCACCACCACACCACTACATCCACATACACCACTACACATCACTACATCCACCCCACTACTCACACTACATCACTACATCCACCACCACCGTCACACTTCACATCCACCTACTGCACTACTACATCCACCACCACACCACTACATCCACCCACCACCACACACTACATCCACCACTCAGGCCACTACATCCACCACCTATACCACTACATCCACCACCACACACCACTACATCCACCACCACACACTCACTACATCCACCACCAGGCCACTACATCCACCACTATACTACTACATCCACTCAACACACACTACTACATCCACTACTACACGACTACATCCACCTTCTAGGCCACTACATCCACCACCATACTACTACATCCACCACCACACCACTACATCCACCACCACACCACTACATCTTACTACACCACACGACTACATCCACTACTTCCACTCTACTACATCCACAACTGCACTACTACATCCACCACTACACACTACTA